CTGATTTTTGTACTGTACACAGTGGCAGCAACTTAAAACAATGTTAATATATATATATATATATTCTGATTTTTGTACTGTACACAGTGGCAGCAACTTAAAACAATGTTAATATATATATATATATATATATAAAAATCAGAAAAGATTTTCCAGCAAACAATTAATTAAGATCAAAAGTCTGTAAATATGTACATAATTGATCTCATCTTTTCAGATTGGTGGAATAAGGTTTCTCTATGATAATGTGGTAGAAAGTTTGGAGAGGTTTAAAACATCTGGTGGCTTTGGCTGTATTCTTGCTCACAGTATGGGCTTAGGAAAAACTCTCCAAGTAGGTGACAAGCATTCTGAAGTTTTAAAATTTATTAAACTAGATTTAGTGGTTGAGAAGTAATTGTTCATTGATATGGTATTAAATGGAGATGTTCTTTTTAAATTTACTGGTTTTGAGGTTTTGATAATTGTTCAAATGGTATATAGTATTAATTATTTATTAGTGTAATAGAGAAAAAATAATAATATCTGATGAAATATGTTAATTTTATGGTATATCTCTCCATTTTTGGCTTTGTAGTTTTACATCAAAACTTTAAATGTAAATATTATTTATAAACAGGGCATAATGCGAAACTAAATTTCTGTAGAAGAACTGAGGCTGGGGGGGGGGGGGTATGACTTAACCCACCTTTTTCAAACCTACTGCAAGACATTTTGTTATATTAATATGTATCTTCGTTATGCATAAAAATGAAATTAAATCAAACATTAGTAAATATTTAGGTGATTTTTAAATTATACAGATCCGTATCAATATTTATTTAACTCGTGAACAAGGAATAGAGCTTTGTAACCACCCTTGCAGTTTAAAAGTAAGTGATGGTTAAAGGAAAATAATCAAGTTAATGGGTTTATAAAAATGTCTCATAAAAGATTTAAAAAAAAGAGACATGTTAGTTATCAGTGAGAACCAAGAAAGTAACTACAAACAATCCTGAGCATTGAGATAAGGAAAAAAAAATCTAAATATTTCTAATAAATGGCTTTTCTACACGTGAGGTTTGTTACGGCTGCTCAGAAATTAGAGTTGGGACATACTTTTCTTAGCTAAATGTGATCATCATTATTTTATACTAAAGTATCAATTGTAATATATATTTAAGTGAAAATATTTGAAATAGAATTATAATTATTTTATTACTTCAATTTTGAAATTATGTACGCAGGTGTTGTACCAGACACCTGAAGTGTCTGTACTGGGGACTTGTATTCGTAAATGATCAAAGGGAATATCATGCACTAACTTATATCATGTATTGTTTCTGAATGTTTATCTATTTTATATCTGTAATGTGTAAGTAAACTAATTTTAATCTTATCCAATCATCTTACAAGTAAACAACAACGTGTACTTTTTATATATTAGATATTTTTACTGTGTTAAAGCACAGACTCTGCCCAAGTTGAAACAACATCGTAGGTTGCAGGTAACATTCAGAAAGTTACTTCCTTTTGTTTTCTTCAAGGTTTCAAAGATACAAGTAGGTTTTAAGATGTTAATAGGATTATCTTGCTTTTTTTTTTTAATGGGTCAGCTGCTGCACATATTTGATCAAGCTTGATATAGATATCCATCCTTGCAAGTTATCTTTCATATTACAGAAGAAAAACATTTTTTTTTGTTAACGGTATGGGTACCCACAAGCTCCCATCTGTCCAAACTTGGTTACTGGCCTGAAATGATTGGATTAGACCAAGGTAGATATGTATGCGTTATTTTAACTGTTCTAAAGTAGTAAAATAAATAGCTGACAGATGATTAATAAAGTTTTATGTTTCTTGTTGTTTAGATAATCTCTTTCACAGAGGTCTTTCTTCGACACACTTCAGCCCGAAATGTGCTGTGTATAGTGCCTATAAATACTTTACAAAATTGGATGGCAGAGTTTAATATGTGGTTGCCACATGAAAAGTCACCGTATCCTTCCTTTCCTCCAGAACAATTCAGAAAAAGAAACTTTGATGTGTTCATTCTTAATGAAAATTACAAGACACTAGCTGCCAGAGCTGAATTGATATGTAAGTTGCCAACTTGTTATATTTTCAATTATACTAAATGTATTTATCTTCATTTTGCTAGTAACCACTTTGACATGAAATAAACTTAATATTTATAGCTAACAGACTACTATATTTTATCAAACAATTTATTAAACCATTTAATACATAATAAACTATATGTAAATTGGTTGTTTTGTTTTGGTATTTTGTAAGCATTACTTGTACTTTTTGAGAAAAAACATCAGCTGTTATGATGTTGCTTTTTTCTGTTGTTACAAGACTATATGAAACTTAATTGAATTGAGTTGTTTAAACATTTGTTTAACAACAAGTAAAAGCTTGGTCTGTTCTTTCATTGGGGGTGTGTCTGTGGGTCAGACCAAACCAAGCCTTTATACTAGTGAGGTATCGAAAATCGAAATGCTGGACTTAGGAGTTTTGCTATAATCAGTGAGATATTGTAAGATGTAAGTGGTAAGGGACAGTGATGATTTCATATCAAGCCGTTGTAAGTATCAAAGTGAAAATATGAATATGATCAAAATATAGTAATTTAGTATTAATTGTGGCTGTCTATAAAACTTATCAGTAGTCGTAGAGAATAGAAACATTCACATGATCAAAAGATAGTAACTAAGTATTAATTATGGCTGTCTATGAAACTTCTATCAGTAGTCGTAGAGAATAGAAACATTCACATGATCAAAAGATAGTAATTTAGTATTAATTGTGGCTGTCTATAAAACTTCTATCAGTAGTCATAGAGAATAGAAGCATTCATATGATCAAAAGATAGTAACTAAGTATTAATTGTGGGTGTCTATAAAACTTCTATCAGTAGTCATAGAGAATAGAAACATTCACATGATCAGAAGATAGTAATTTAGTATTAATTGTGGGTGTCTATAAAACTTCTATCAGTAGTTGTAGAGAATAGAAACATTCATATGATCAAAAGTTAGTAATTTAGTATTAATTGTGGCTGTCTTTAAAACTTCTATCAGTAGTTGTAGAGAATAGAAACATTCATATGATCGAAAGTTAGTAATTTAGTATTAATTGTGGCTATCTATAAAACTTCTATCAGTTGTCGTAGAGATTAGAAGCATTCACATGATCAAAATTAGTAATTTAGTATTAATTGTGGCTGTCTATAAAACTTCTATCAGTAGTCGTAGAGAATAGAAACATTCACATGATCAAAAGTTAGTAATTTAGTATTAATTGTGGCTGTCTATAAAACTTCTATCAGTAGTGGTAGAGAATAGAAACATTCACATGATCAAAAGATAGAAACTAAGTATTAATTGTGGCTGTCTATGAAACTTCTATCAGTTGTCGTAGAGATTAGAAACATTCACATGATCAAAATATAGTAATTTAGTATTAATTGTGGCTGTCTATAAAACTTCTATCAGTAGTCGTAGAGATTAGAAACATTCACATGATCAAAAGTTAGTAATTTAGTATTAATTGTGGCTGTCTATAAAACTTCTATCAGTAGTCGTAGAGATTAGAAACATTCACATGATCAAAAGTTAGTAATTTAGTATTAATTGTGGCTGTCTAT